GTGGATGAAGAACACATGGCTGTGTTTTGGGACCTTAATTGCCTTTTCATATCCTATTTAAAATTTTCTCCGTTACTATGATGTCTGTAATGATGGCAAAGGTATAGTTAATTAAGTCTTAAGTCCCTCATGATTGAGGACAGTAAAGTATAAAGCTGTTAGTACCCCCCACTCCATGACTCAAATGATATTTTCTTTTTTTCATCATTGGCAACTTCCCACGACCATATATTTTCTGCTCCTTTTAAAGAACCAAATGCTGAATGTGAATGGGTAGCCGCAGCATCGATTTGCCAAGTAATGGTAGGGTGTCCCCTGGAAACAGGGCTCTTTTAATTCTGTTTCATATCTGAGGTAAAGTAAAAACATGGAAACAGATGGTAGGGAACGACTGGCATCTCATCATGCATATTTCATTTGATTTGCAGCCAGTCACCTCTCGATAATAATGCTACAAAACTCAAAGACTTTGTTCCTGGGAATACTGGGTTCAATGACATAGGATCAACAGTGTAACTTCAATTGAATTTTGAAGCTGGTGAGCTAGAAGTATTTACATCTTTAGCAAGGTTATGATACAAACAGCTCAGTTCTTTTCTGGTATGGTTAGGGCTGACTTGCAAAGAAATACACGGTTGCTGTTGTGAATGACAAATCTTACTTAATGTTTTTTTAAGAGCACAATGGGACAAACATCTGTGGTTATTTCCATTATGCTCTAAGGCATTTTACTGGGACAGAATTTAGCCATTAATTTTGTTGTATTTACATTATTTATATACAAGAAGAACAAGAAAAAATGGCAGCCTGTTTAATGATTATATACATTGTGATTCGGTTGGAAAAATGTGTATTACAAATGGCAAAATAGCCTGTCAAATACATAATTATATGGTGTTCTTTTTTTTGTCAGAGAACTTTTAATTCCTAAAATCCCACTGTTTGATCTCAGTGAAAGATCTGGCCTATACATTATACTGGGGGGGGGAGAAACAGCGTAATAATAGACTTCTTAAACCACATCAGTTCCTGGTTAATAGCTCCTTTTCTTCATTTTAATATGAGGGTTACCTTTGTAAAATGCGTCCAAAGCAAAATAAAAGATGGAACCTAATACAACAAAACATTACTTGACATCAGGAGAAATAGTAACTTAAATTTCATTCGTTGTCCCTAGTCTCAGAAGAGATACTGGGGAATAAAATATCACTCTCTTGTGACGCGTTGCTTATCTGAGACTTTGTTTTTAATAAGAACTGTGCTCTCCTGTACATTATTCTTTCCTGTTCTTGCTTTAGCTCAATGTAGGAGCGTGAAAACGTGTGGAAGATGGAGGTGACTGGAAATGCCATGAGGAGGATGCCACTCAGTATGCTGCTTAGTGCCACCACTTGGCCGGGAATGCTTCTGGGAACCATATCTCCGTAGCCTACCGTGGTCATGGTGATGACAGCCCACCAGTAGCACGCGGGGATGCTGGTAAACTCCTGCGAGTCTGCCATCTCATTCTCAATGACATACAGGAGCGGTGCAAACAGTGCGATGGCCACGCAGAGGAAGAGCAGCAAGAGCCCAAACTCCCGGGTGCACCTGCGAGCGGTCAGCCCCAGCGTCTGCAGCCCCAGGGAGTGCCTGGCCAGCCGCATGACGTAGAGAATCCTCAAGGCACGGAGAATACGGAGGACCAGACCTACTTTGTCCAGGTAGATGCTCCCAGAGCTGGGCTTTTTGTAGCCCACTGAAGTGGTGTCTACTAGCAAAGTGATGTAGTATGGCAGAATGGCTATTATGTCTATCAGCGTTAATGGTCTCCTCAAAAATGCAAACTTGCTCTTTGCCTGGATGAATCTTAGCAGGAACTCCAGGGAAAACCATGCCACACAGACAGACTCCACAATGAAAATATTGTAGCACATCTGGGAACACTCACCCTGTAGGAAAGAGGAGGAGTTTGTAATTGGCACTGGATAATAACTATTTTAGTTGGTACGGTGACAGGAAAAGAGGTTTCTGTGTTGTTTTTTTTAAACCCAAAATATTAAAGGAATCAAAGCTGTTGCTATGGGGAAACACATCGACAAATTGGAACAAGTTAAATGCAAAACTTAGAAAATAACTACTTATTCCATGGAAGACATTGCTCAGTAATTTCAGGATTTCTAAATAGCAAATACAAAGCTTACAAGGTAACACACAGTTGTACAGAAGAGTGCACACTAACAAGATTTTCTTTGGACGTAAAACTTGGTATGATTAATTCTCTTAAAAGTAATTGAACAGAGTCATGTAAGATTTTGAGTATTCTTTGTGTTATTTTTCCCCCTCTAAAGACAGCTGCAAAATCCCCATTGAAATCAATACCATCAGACCTTGTACTCGTTCTGCTCTTCGCAGCACATACCATTTTCCATCCTGAAAAGCTAACTTACCTTTTCCTCCTCCTCCCTCAGGTCAGGCATGGTGCTGATGGATAAGTTCACTGCTGTAATAGTTACAAATAAAACAGACAAACAAGCAAACACCTTTCCAGGGAGGCCAGACTGGGGCCTTTCCACCATGTCTTGCAACTTTTTCATGCACAAGCCAATTTTTGTCTCCTCTACTGTTTCACCTGTTGTTTCATTTTCTGTGAGGTCATCCTCCCGTTCATTTATTTCTGTAAACTCCTCCATTTTTTGCAGGTATCTCCTTTTACAACACCAGTCCAAGTTGTCTTCTTCAATTCCCCAGTAGAGCAGCTCCTCTTGGAAAGACAGTGCACACATCTCACGCAAGAGCCGAAGTTTTCCAACCCGCAAAAAGGTCAGGATTGTCCTGAATGCCCCTGGGTTGCGGTCGAAAAAGAATTCATTACATGTCACATCGTAATCATCACAGATGTTTAGAATGTCATCAAAATTGTTACAGAATTTTAGTTGTCCCAAACGTGTCAATGGGAATTCATCAAGCGTGGTCCATGGGAGCAAATACTTAATGCCCCCTACGTTTATAATAATATGATGCTTCCGATCATCAGGGTGAAAGCCTTTCAGGAGATCCTCTTGAGGGTGAATTACCTTGGCTCTTTGGTAAAAGACTCCCTTAAGGGTTTCTGTTTCTGGAAAGAATGTGTGGTTGAAGGAAGTATCTGAAGCACAGCTCAGGGCACTATAGTCATAGTCGGAATTTTCTCCAGGAAGAAGAGTCATCTTGGAAGGTAACTTCACATCACTTCGCTACTTCTGCAAGTGTCTTCTGGAAGAAAAAACAGATATATGGGGTGAGTGAATGAGAGGTTGTTTTCAAGTTTGGAACACAGGTAGTGATTGGAGCTCAAAAACATCTATGGCTGATAAAAACAACTGGAAAGAAAACAGCAGTGGCTGAGTATGGTCAGAAGACCTTTCTGGTGAGGCTGGGTTTGTCCAGCTGGGTGGAACTGACTCTATCAAGGGCTGCTCCCTTGTTCAGGAGCTCTGCTCGGCATATTTGTCACACTGCGGGGCTTCTCCTGTCTCAGATACAGAGGTCTCAGTTCACAGTGGATCTAGAGGGAAATGAGGAATAATTCCTGCATGTGGCAGGATATTCCTGGTTCAGAACAGAAGTACAAAAATTATGACAGTATCACATAAGAACACAGAATTCAAGTGTGTTTTGTAGAAAAGGAAATTGTGTATTTTTATTTAACTATTACACGTAAAAAGCTTAAGTATTTTAGTACCCATGAAGTATATGGAAACAATCAGAAGTCAATTATGTTGTAATTCAGTAAATACATACTTCTAAAAAAGTTAGTACAAGACTAATTTCTAAAAGGCTATATAGAAACAATTTTGGGAAAAAACCCCCACTTACATTGATGATCACATTAAATGTTTGTATAGAGTTTATATACATATAATGACATGGCCAACTCCCTTTTTACGGCCTTGTTTACAAAAGATTGCAAAGAAATACATGATTTCTACACAAACATTGGAGTATTATTTCAGTTACAACTGACGCCCTGTATGCAGCAATAGGTCTTTGTCCTTACGATGGATTGAAGAGCAGCTGACAGCCAAGGTGACTGCCTTCACCTCTGATTATAGGAAACCAACAAATTCCTATGATGACTTTGCAAATCGCGTTCAAATTCTGCTCACACAACACTAGTGTAAAGTCTGTGGAATGAAGTGACCACAAAGTTCAAATGGGTATAAAAAGCAGGTACTGGAAATGTTAATCTTTTTGCCTCCCTAACTCACTGCATTTTAAAAGTCAGACTGGAACAGACTTTCAGGTCTGCTCATACGCAGGAGAGTTGTGCAGTACTGCTTCTAGATCTTCCTTCTGTACAGTCAGCTACAGCTTGATGCATGCAGTTGCTGAGTTTCATTTGATAAGAGTATTTATTAAGTAGATTGTACAATAAATAGATATTAATTATGCACAAGTATTCTGACTTTCTAGCCTCGAGTTCACAGGAAAGTAATAAATATTACACTTGATTGGCTTCAGCAGCAGTATATGGTTTTGTTCTTTTCCTGGCTGTACTTACCTCCCCTTTGATACACACCCTGGGGATACACACCCCTGCTAGGGTGACTTCCTTAAACACAGAAGTGTCATTTTCAGAAGCTGGGGTTTATAAACCACATCAGTAGTGTTACATACCTATTCTAGAAGAAAAACCCATTAATATACAACAGCGAAGTACTCAAAACACAAGCTGCACTTCAGTTTAAGAGCAACAGGCTTTCCTTGCTGCAAGGGGACTTACTGCTTTCAGTAAAATACTATCTCAGTCCTGCTCCTAAACTTCCCAGAGGGATTACTCTGAACAGAGCAGTTCCTTACATACGCTTACAAACAGGTGGCCCCAGGTGAGCTTTGGATGGGATGGTATTTCCTCAGTCCTCACCGGTAACCCTCTTTAGTACAAAAGGAAATCATTAATTTACTTACCTTTAGGGCACGTGGATAAAGAAAGCCTATGGGAATATGCAAGAACGGACAAGGTGCGATTCAGATCTTCCAAGAGCTGTGGTACTACTTTCTGGCCTGAGGTAAGCGAAGAGGTAAGCTTTGTCATCTTGCTTCTATCACAAAGTGGGATCTCTATTACTACTGCTAGTGATTTGAGAACAGCTATTTGGCAAGTAACCTATTCTCCATGCCAAAAGCTTAACTGTGTTTAGCTTTCAGTGCCTTATCACTACATACTTGCTTGTATTGCCGCGTTGCTCTGTCTTTGCTCCGGAGTTATGACTCTGGAAATCCCCATGGCAGGGGATGGGCAATTCTCAACTCCTCTGGAAGTGACGGTGCGTGCAAACAATGACAAAATCCCGCAGGCGTGCACTCAAATAAACTTCCAATCGATTTTGGCTGGTCTCTTGCCTCAAGAAAGACTGAGTGAAGGCCTGCTGACCTGAAAGTCTTTTTTTCAGAAAGAACATTAACACGAAACGTAATTGTATTAAAAAGTCACATTCTAGGAAATTCTAGCCAATACTGGGATTATCAGTGGAGCTTCATGACAAATGATGGCACTCTGCCATTGCCCACTGGAAAAGCTGCAGGACCCAGATAAATGAAGGGATCTGAGGAGAGTGATAGCTGGCTCAGGTAGTACGTCCTAGGTCACGTTGAACAGAGGAAGTATGGAACAGCTGAACTTGCAATTACCCTGACATACAGTCCCATCACATGAAGTACTCCTAATGACCTCAGAGCTGGTCCTCTGTTAAAGCATTCCCAAGATCCCATCAGTAGAAATAATGCCACTGGGAGTTCAAGCTATAGGTCTGATATGGAAGAACAGGGTGACCTGATGTTTGTTTATATAGGGCTCCTTTTCTTAAAGCAACTGTTGTTTTATTTAGAAACAAGCTTTTTCCCCCCTGCCTCAACTATGTCTAAGGCAGGGCTGGCCCAAAGAGAATAAAGATTATGACTGATACACGACTATGGATAAATGGGAGCTGTTAACCGTTTTCCCTTCTGTAATACCAGATGATGTTGGTTAGCAACAACTTGTCCTCTGAATCTCAGCCAGGAAAAATGAGGAGGCAGCTCATCTCTGTCACTGGTTTGATCTCCCACCACATCCATTGTTGACACAATGGGAAGAAATGGGGAGAGGGAAATGTAAATGTTCTGCGTGTGTCAGACACATGCTGTAACCCTGAGGCATCAACTGTGAAACAACAGAGCAAAGAAAAAAGAATTTCTTTCTTCGCTTCCAGCTTCTCGACCTGTGCGAGACAATAAATTGGACAAATGAATCTCCTGTGTAACACACTTAATGACTGCAGTTCTAAAAGGTGGCTCCTTCTTTTTCCATAACCAGAACTGGCAAGCCCACAGATCCCAGGTAGGCAGCTACGGTATTTGACGCTGTACATGTGTTATCTACATGTTCTTTGCCTCGGATACACATAGCATCCTATCTAAGGGGGAAGAATAAGGAGGAAATAAAGGACAATAGAAAAGATGGCCTGACTTGAAGGAACGGAGGAAGGAGAAAAATAAAGGCATACATTTCTCTGTATGTTTCTTGTTTCCCTTTGGAAGGTGCTTCTACAGAATGATGCTTTAAGATGGCAGAGATCTAATTAATGGAAGGGTTTTTTTGCTATTGAGCTTAACAAAAAAAGCAAACTTTTATTCATACATTGCAGACCGATGACATTGGGAATGGCTGTAAGAAATGCGTTAAGGATTAAAAACACGCTGGAATATAAGGTCAGACAAACACATTAGCCTATAGCAACAATTTTCCTAACAATTAAACATGGTGAACTTTAAGAATGTGCTGTAACAGTAAAATCCTCAAATAAAACTGCTCTGGTTAAGTCAGGCCCAATGGTAAAACCCCTCCTTGTCTGAGACAGTATTCTGCCCTTTGAATGCTTGGGAGTTAGTGAAGCCCAGTTCATCTCTCCAGCTCCCCTGCTGACAATGTGTTCTCATCTTGGGCAAATCACTTCCCTCTGAGCATCGTTTCCTATTTTGTTTGTAAGCGTACTGGGGCAAGAACTGTCTTTTACTACATTGTACAATCCTGATCATTGTTCTGGCTTCTAGAAACTACGGTAATACAGACTAACTGGCCCATAGCAAGGGCTCTTGGTGACTCTAAATGGTGTGGTGTGCACGTGAAGCGAGATTAACGTCTTTTCAAAAATCTGTCTTGCACAAGATGATATTCTTATCCATTATGTCTGGTGAAGAAATCGAATTAGAAATCTGTACTGCCCTTACTTTCAGCAGAAATTCAGGAAGGGTGCCAGACTCCTAGACAATGGGGAAAGAATTATTAAAGATGCCCTTCTGAGGGAAAGAAATAGAAATCATGAGTAACATGCTAAAATTCCACTGCAAGTGTCGTTTCCCCCCCTCAGTGTCCTCTGCAGTATTTTGAATTCTGCAGTGCATCTCTGATGTAATCAGAGCTCCTGCAAGGAGTCCTGATACTGCTCTGTGATGCAGACAATTCAAAGTTGCGCCTGGATGATAACAAGCATGCAAGGAAGATGCATAACTCCCCCCTAGACTCTTCTATCAATTCCAGTGCCTGGAACTCCTCTCTGTTGCTTTTTACATTTGTAAATTTAGTTTAAAAAAAAAAGTTTCTGATTTCAGTGCAGGGTGTATATGAATAGAGTGATTTTTCTGAAAGAATTCCATAAGAAACTGCTTTACAGTTTAGTGATCCTTCTTCCTTTACTCTCTCCTTAGTTAACATAAGCAGTATTTTCAAGCAGTGTTAAATTCAGCTATCTTCTGACACATGATTTCCGTACTATATCAACATTGTCAGGGTACCCTCCTGAAATACTTTAAGCTATACTCATGGAGCTCTTTCTGTAGTAAGAACCGATCTCAAACTTCAACTCTGCTTGCAAAGTGAACTTCCAACCAAATCAAAGTAAAACTTACAAAGGTCAATGTATAATATGAAACAAAACTATCCTGAAAATCATATAATCTGAAAAAAATATGCTGTACCTCGCTCTCCTTGATCTGGACAGCGTTATGCTTTTTGGCATCTTATGACAACCTACAAACTGAATTATGACAAATATGTCACTCAGTGTTTAGTTTTATAAAGCTGAGCCTTATTCTGCCAATAATAATCAGAAGTGAAATAACTTTGCAGATAACTTATATCCCCAGGAGAATGTTCTGAAATACATTAGAACTAATAACTATAGTTATC